TTATGGCAGGAACGCGTGAACATGGGTCAGTGCGTATTCTGTGGTGACCCGACCCACGTTATCAAATTTTGTCCAAAGTATAGACAGGCCCGTTGGGCTGCCCCTACTTCAAGGCCATGTGGAGAAGTGAGCGCGCGCGAACAGGACACTCCCAACCCACATGAGCCTATGGCAGAGGTTGCAGGCCCGTGCCTAGATAGCTGTCCAGAGACCGCCTGTGTAAGCGTCTCTTTAGGCACGTCCCTCAAAGGTGTGGCAGAAGAACTAAAGGAGAGGATGCCAGCCTGGGCCAAAATGAAAAAGGAGAGTAAAGGACAACTGATTTTGGTAGATGTAGAGGTGTTTAGGAGTAGGGTAGGGGCCCTTATAGACTCAGGGGCTACCCGTAGTTATATCAGTCGTAGGGCACTGAAGAAGTTGAGGCTAGGACTAAAGGTCCAGAAGTTAATAGACCCTATAGTCAGTGTTCTCGCAGTCAACCGCACAATGCGCGTTGAGGACTATGTAGAGGGAGTCCAGGCGTACTTTCGCCTAGAGAAGGATGGGAAGGTGGAGAAAGTTCTCCATTCCCTGACTCTCCTCGTACAAGATGACCTTCCTTTCGATGTAGTGTTAGGAATAGATTGGGGAGAGGCCGCGGGGGCCACACGCCATCTGAGAGAGCATGAGTGTAGGCTCCCTAGTCCGTCAGGCGAAGTGAAGACTGCTCGCCTATTCCATGCGTCCGGTGTAGATAACACCTTGGCGCATTGCTGTCTCAGTGCTCCCGCGTTCGCGCGATTAGTAAGAAAGGAGCAGTTAGAGGAACAGGTCTTTGTGCTGTATGTTAGACCTGTCACTGAGGGCCAGAAGAAGGATATCTCCACAGACCCAACAATTGCCAAGCTGTTGGAGGAGTTCAAAGATTTGACTGAGTTGCCGACAGGAGTAGTGCCGCGACCCATCCAACATAGGATAGAGATAGATCCTGGCAGTAGAACACCTAAGGGTGCAGTCTACAGGATGTCCCCTAGAGAGTTAGAGGAGCTTCGCAAGCAGTTAGACGAACTCCTTGAGAAAGGGTGGATCAGGCCCAATTCGTCTCCTTTTGGAACACCCGTTTTGTTTGTCCCCAAGAAGGAGAGCTGAGAATGTGTATAGACTATAGGGGATTAAATGCGATCACCGTGAAGAATGCTGAGCCGCTGCCCAGGATAAACGATCTTTTAGATCGGGTGCAGGGTTGTAAGTATTTCTCTAAGATAGACTTAAAGTCCGGATACCATCAGATAGAGGTTCATCCTGATGATCAGTACAAGACTGCGTTCCGGACTAGATATGGGCATTATGAGTTTATAGTGATGCCCTTTGGACTAACCAACGCGCCAACTACTTTTCAGCGTTGTATGAATGACCTGTTTAGACCATGGTTAGATAAATTTGTAGTAGTCTACTTAGATGATAT